ATTTAAAACCTGATCTCAGAAAAGCAGAAGAATGGGGGGCAGGGGATTCCAAAGGGCACCAAATTAAGGGCAAACTGGCTGTCATAAACCAGTGGTTGTCCTGAGGGCGAATGGAGGCATCCTTTCCAAAGTAAACCAAGTGGAATATGTCCTAGAATTTTTCCAAATTTAATGTATCCTGTCCAATACTACACTTCATGGAAATCACTGCACCCTCCCTCCAGGCATGTTTGCTAGTGAAACAAAGAAATGAGCTTCAACTGGAGCTTTTGTTCCACCAAAAACTCCTCTCCAGGGCCTGTATCTAGCACTGCATGTGGCCTAGTGTGGGTTCAGGGATATTAAGTCCACCCTTGAGGAATGTATAGTCTACCTGACCAGACAGACCTAGACAGTAGCAAAGAAGCAGCGTCAGAGACTCAGATTGGAGAAAAGGAAGAACTTTTTGACGGTGAGGATTATTAAACAAAGGATGGAACTCCAAGAAGGAAAAACCCCATCTCAGGAGGACTGTGGGAACGGAGGGGCGCATCAAATGTATTATAAGCCTTAAAGGGATCCATCTGGGCGTGTCTAAACTCACTTTATTCCCGTTTAATCTGCCAGCCATAGTTACCCAAGGCATAGTTCCAGGCAGCTCAAATCTGCCTCACACTAACATTTTAACTTCCTGTAGTCTCCTAAGAACTTCGGGTTGGGTCACACATTCTCATCTGAGAGGCACAGGGAGATGTCAGGACTTGCCTCCCATCTCACAAGTCTGGTTCTGTGTGTGTGTGTGTGTGTGTGTGTTGATGTGGTGTGTTTGTGTGTGTGTGTGTAGATGTGGTGTGTGTGTGCGGTATTAAAGTGAGGGCAAGGTGTGAGGACTAGAGCCTCTCCTAACCAGGCTGATGGCAGGAGGGAATCTACTGCACATGTGAGTCTGATAATTCAACCAACAAAAGGGCCCCTTTCCTGGGCGGCTTCCAGCAACAGAGGCAGAAGTTCCTAAAAGCAGCCGGAGGCTTTTTATGGTGCCCACACACTGGTACGTTACCTTGCAGACCCTCTGACCCACAAGGGCCCACCCTCATGCCTCCTATGCCTCACTCCCCCCAGGACCAGAGTCCCTGTAAACTAAATTCTCAAGGGGCCCCAAATCCAGTCAGCTCGGAAGCCTGGCTTTCCCACCCTCCCACTCCCTCCACCCACACGGCTGAGGTCACCCCAGCCCAGCCTCTTTTGCAGCTTTCCCAAGTTTGTGCATGAGAGGGAGAGGAGGAAAACTCAGAAGGAAGTGTCTTAGCCTCAACAAACTCTTTTTTCCTCCCAAAGCCTTTTTCCTCTGACCCGGCCAAGACTGCTGCTCTAAGAGGAGACCCCGACCCAGAGGGAATCCCCACCTGCCGTCAGAGGCTGAAAGGGCCCTGGAAGCTTTGCTCGGTTCCTGTCTATTCCAGCAGCCCCAGAGGTATTTGGGTTTTGGGGCGTGGGGAGGAGTGGAGGCAAGGGAGGCTTAGGATCTGTCAGCTGCAGGGTTTAGATCCAGCCCAAAGAACACCCACGCCTGAGTAACTCCCAGGGGGTGGCAGCGAGCCAAGGCAGAAAGGACTCCCTGCCCAGCCAGGGGAGTTGGGGCCCGGCTCGGGGCTCTACACGGCCGGCTGTCAGCAGCAAAGCGATGCAGCTGCCGGCACAGTCAGAGAAGGGCCAGCCAGAGACCGGAGCCCTTCAGCAGGGCTGTGTCCTGCTAGCACCCAGAGTCTCCTCGCCACTTTGACAGGGCACCTTCTGGGGTGGAACCGTGTCAACCCACGGGTCTCATCGGGGAAGGGGGAACCCCTGGAGTAGGAGAGTGTCCCTCTTGTTCTAGACTGTAATTACGCCTCTCAGCACAGCTCTGTGATGCTTGGGGAGCCAATGAGCAGCGTTGGACAGGCCCGGATGTTAGTCTCAGCTTGCCACAAACTAGTTGTTCCTGACTCTGAAATCCGGGCTATGATGGCATGTTTTTAACTGCAAAGTGTCCTATAGTTGCTAGCATTGTATATTAATAAAAATAATTTCTTTGGACTTACAGATCAATCCCCCACCCCAGGTCACATGGAGATAGTAACTTACCTATATCCTCAGACCTACATAGTGCGTGGTAGGCATGCAGTCCATGTGCTGGATGATGGATAGACTGATGGACGGATGGACAGATGAATGGATGGATGGATGGACAGAAAGATGGATGGATAGATGACTATTTATTGAAGACTCAGTATCCCCGGCATGGGTCAGACTCTTTGGGGGGATACTGAGAGGTGTGAGGCATTGTCCTGCCCACTGGGCACTGACAGCCTACTTGGGGAAATAGAACTAATACCCCCAGAGAACTTAAAGAACAGGAGTGCTGAGCCTCCTGAAACCAGGGCTGTGGGTACACTTCCCGGAGAGAGCAGGTCTAAACCTGCTAGGATTTGGGTGGGTGAGGCAGACTTGTAAGCCTTCCTGCGAGGCAATAAAGGCGTATGCTCCCCGATAGCCTCTTTTCAAAGGCAAACTTACTTCAAGATTGTAAATCCCATTTATGTTTTAGGGTGGATACATTTGTTATTTTCCAAAGCGTGGGAGCAGAGAGGGGAGGCAGTGACGTGGGGTAAGATGGTCTGAGGAAGGGAGGCTTTGCCTGCTTCAGAAATCTCAGCTGCCCCCCTGCTCACTGCCTCTCATCCCTCCCCCCGTCAGCAGAAATGACACCTCACCCAACACCTCTTTTAGGCGGAAGGTTGTGTCTGCGTCCCGGTTGGGGCCAGGAGGGTAGAGAGAAACAAAGTGGGAAGGTAAAAACACAGCAGGTCCAAGAGTTCTTAGAAGACTGACTTTAAAAAGAACGTGTTGCATGGGGTGGGGGCACTGGGGAGGCATCAACTGCATCTTTCTCACTCCCTGGGCACTGAGCTACACTGAGCTGTGGCAGATGGGCAAGGCTAGGGCTTAGAAGTCCTGCCAGGCAAGATGGGGAGAAGAGTTAGCCACGTGCAGTGGAGAACAGTCCCCGGCAGACTCTGCTCTGTTCAGACCTGAGCCGGCTGAAGGGGAGCCCTGCATTGCAAACCTGCTTTTCACTGTTATTTAACAGTGGAGGGTGATGACTCAGTCTGGCCTCTAGGAGGATGCACTGGTTTAAAGTATCTGAGTCAGCTGAGTGGGAGGAAGGAGGCTTAAAAGGACAGACATTGCCAAAGCCCAGCCAAGGGCAGAGCCCAAATGTTACAAGAAGGACCTTCAGGCACAGTCTGAAATCTGCACGTGGTTCCCTGGTGAGCCCATCCAGTGTCTACCCTCAAGCCACCCTCCATTGCCAGTGATGTAGTCCTGGTCACCCTCTTGCTGCTAGTTATCCTGGGACCAACGACCAGGCTGTTTTATTTTATTTTATTTTTCAAACAAAAGGGCTCACATATTTACTACTGAACCAACCTGCTAGTGCAGAAGCATAGAAACAAAGAGGAAAATCATTTTTCCCAGTAGAACATGTCCTGCTGTCCAGACAGTGGACAGCTAGATATGGTAAGATGCCAGTGACCTTGATACAGCATCGATATGTGGGCCGTCTCGTGTGTGATTCCTTACAGACCCAGCTTGGCTCTTCTCCAATATCTCCTCTTAGAGTTGTACCTGATTTTATGACCAGTTTTCATGCAAATCCACTGGGAGAGTGGGACAATTCTGTTTTTGTTTCCTGGCCAGGAATTGCTTGATCCTGAATGTCTTGTGAGAAGGCATGGCAAGGAACAGAGTCAACCACACACACCAAGCTGGTGGAGAAGGGAAGAGAGAGACAGGCTATTGCAAATAGCAGCCCCAGCTAATCCCTGCCCTTCTGGCAGGGTGTAGGGGAATCTGCATGGCAGCAGACTTTGAGGGCTCAGCCAGAGGAAGAACTAGGGCAGTGGTGGGTGTAGGGGGCTCAGAGTAAAGGCTGAGGTGAGTTATAAGAATCTGGAGAAGAAAAGACTCAAGTAAAACTCCAAGACTTTAAATCTCAGGAGGGCTGGCAGGTAGCAGAGGAACTGAGCATTCTTTCTGTGGCTTCCAGGAGAAATCCACCCCTAGTGGAGGCAAGTTCTGTGGGGCAAGTCTGGCCATCTTTCCATGAATATGGTGCAGGTGGCTCAAGCACTGGGTGGGAGGTCGGACTAGATGAACTTTGGGGTCCTTCTGTAGTGAACTGGAGAATGATCCACACTGGTAGCTTGAAATCAGCCACGGTGGGAGTATTTACACCACAGAAAGCGGCAGGCACTACAAATCAGGTATCTGCCCCCCACCGTGTTTAACCGTTTAACCAGGTCTTTCCAATTTGCTCTAAGAGCATGACACATGCCACACTGCAGAATCAGCCACAGCCATGAGTGATGTCTATTTTACCCACAAGGGAACAGACTCACCAAGGTTAAGAAACTCTCCCAAGGTCACAAATATATGGAGGTGGGATGAAAACCCTGACGCCAAAACTCATGATCACTCTGGAGTCCCAGGAGGCCTCTCTCTCCTGCCCCAGACACAAAAGTGACTTGTCCTGTCAGGAAGTCACACTCAGATGTCTTTGGGCTGCCATCCTTCCACCTGCTCTTTATAAAGAAATGTTGTCTTTATTTGATGTATATATATATTTTTAGACGTGGTGAGGAATTCCAGGAATTTAAGCCAGGAAACTGGACTTCATGCCACATACACTGAGAAGTCCTCACCAGGCTTTTTTTATTTTTTAAATTTTTAAAATATTTATTTATTTATTTATGGCTACATTGGGTCTTCATTGCTGCGTGCGGGCTTTCTCTAGTTGTGGCGAGCGGGGTTTACTCTTCATTGCGGTGCACAGGCTTCTCATTGCAGTGACCTCTCTTGTTGCGGAGCACGGGTTCTAGGCCCGTGGGCTTCAGTAGTTGTGGCTCATGGGCTTAGTTGCTCCGTGGCATGTGGGATCTTCCCGGACCAGGAATCAAACCTGTGTCCCCTGCATTGGCAGGCGGATTCTTAACCACTGCACCACCAAGGAAGCCCTATTTGATATTTTTAATTACAATAACAACTTAGACTTGTGTAACAAATTTTAACAGAAGGCATATATAAAATAAAACAATAGCTCCTTGCCTCTAATCTACCTTTCCCCACATCCTATTAATCATTTAGTATGTATCTATCCATAGCTTTCTATGTATTGCAGGACAAGCATACATATAATATTAAACATATAGTCACACACACAGGGTTGTTGTTTTTATACAATTGTGATCATACTATACAAAATGTTCAGTGATTTTTTTTCACTTAAATTGTCATATTTTTCCACTTCATTACTTCACTCATTTAAAAACTGCCTAGTATTTCAGAGTATGTATGGATCATAATTTAGGCCAAGGGTCTTTTATTGATGGACATTTAGGTTACAATGTTCTTCAGCAATTATCTTTGTAAAAATGTATGTTTGAGCATATGTGTATTTCTGTTGGATAGACTCCTAGAATTAGAATCTAGGGTATATGCATATTAAATTTTGATACTGTCAAACTGCCGTCCAAAAAAGACAGTGCCAATTCAGAGTCTATCAGCAGTAAACAAGAGTTTTCCCCCACCCACTTGTCAACACTAAATATTATCATCAATCTTCTGAATTTTTGCCACTCTGGTGGGTAAAAGAGTGGTATTTTTTAACTTTGCATGTCCTTAAAAATTAGTAAGTTTAAGTGTCTCCCAAGGGTTACTACTTATCATTTATAAGATCTCTACTGGTTACTTATTCGTATTCTTTGCCTGCTTTTATGTTCTGTGTTGTCTTTGATTGTCTGTAGAGTGCTTTACACATAGTGGATATCGATCCTCTGTTATACGCATGCACTTTCCACCTGCCCCGCCCTCAACCCCAGCTTTCCCTTCATACGCACACCAGCTCTGCTGCACCATGTCAAACCCGAACCATCCAGCCCCCCAGACTCTCCGACAGGGGCACCAAGTGGCAGGGTGTGTGATCCTCATTCTAGTTTCACAGAAGGCGGTAAGTAGGACCTAGCAGCTGAGAGTGTGATCTCTGGAATCAGGCCTGTATTCAAGTCCCAGTTCTGCCACTTACAGACCGTGCTTTTAGAGATGAGCTTAACACCTCTCTAAACACTTCAGTGGTAAAACAGAGATAAGAGTAGTATCAATCCCACAAGATATTTCTGTGTGCTAACGTTTCTTGAGCCCTTAATTAGTGCCATAAATGCATTATAATAATGTACTATGTGTGTTAAATGTAGTATAATAATGTATTCATTTATTAACCTCCCGATGATATGTTTATTTGCATATTCGCAAAGTGCTCTACAACACCACCAGGCGAGTAAACCTTAGCTTATAGTGTGAGCGTTGACAACTCCGCATGGCAACGTGTGAATCTGCTCCCCTCTGCCTCAGGATGCTCTTTTGACCCCTGTGGTCAGTCCACACACGACGGCTCCTGTTCAGCAGCCCATTCCCTTGGCTTCCACTGTGGCTCTTGTCCCTTTGGCTGCCTTTCTCTCGATCCCCTACAGCTCTACCAGGGTTTTGTTGGGGTTCACCAAACCTGAGCCCAGTGCCCTAGATCCTGTGCACACAGATTCTACGGTTCAAACTCAGGACGTCAGGGGGCAACATGGCACAGAGCAGCCTTCTCTGGCCTTTGACTCACACGTTAACTCATCCGTATACTACCTGTGGGGCCTTAGATGAGTTATGAGTGACTTGGCTTCTCTGAGCCCCCGTTGTACTCATCTCATAGCTCATGATTTCCTAAGCCCTACAGAGCAGCCCCTGCAGGTGCTCAGCCAATGCTGGTTCCCTTCCCACTTCCCCCGCCTCCCTTTTGTTCTGACTCCCTTTCCAGGGCACTCTATTGACCTTTGAGGCTAAGTTAGCAGGTTGTACCAAAGCCTTTAGGAAAGAGCTCACCCTTGCTCCCCTTCCCGACTGGTAACTGATGCTTAGAGACACATGCCTTTCAGAAGCTTCTGAGTCACTTCTCCCTTGGCTGGTTTCCTTCTGGGCGGTGACACCCATTACAAAATACCAGCCCCTGTTAATACTTTGAATTCTCTTCCTCTGCCTGTCTGAAGCGTGGGAAATGTTTGACGAATGAATAAATGAATGACAGAATCCTTGGTCTGTATTCATGACCCATCTTAATCTTGCTTCCTTTCTAGGCTTTTCTCTCTCCACACTCTTCGCCTCACCCTTCCCTGAAGCAAACCATCCACCTTCTCCACTCCCCTGTTCCCAGAGCTTTGATATTTCATTTCCTCCTTGGAAATATCACCCCCAACTACCTGTGTCATTTCCTCAGGGCCCAGTTGGATTGGCAGCTTCTCCCCCAGCCCTGAATTCTCACAGCAGTTTCTTGGGGCCTCTGCCGGGGCTCTTGACATTTTCTCTCTGCTGTAATCACTCCCCCCTTTCCTTTCTCCCCTGATGACTCCCTGGAGTGAGCTCCTATTTGCTTTGTCTTTTGCCCTGGGCAAGGCTCTCGTGGCCCAGCGAGTTACACCCCAGTAGATAAAGCATTTTTCAACCAGAAGGGGCCTTGGGTCTTTGGGGCCCAGATGGCTCATCCTCTAGTTGGAAAGCCAAGACTCAAAGAGGGGAAGTAACTGGCCCAAGGTCACACAGTGGCAAAGTGAGAATTAGAACCAAAACCTCAGGACGTCCAATTGAGAGCTTTTTCCCAGTACCAGGCAAGTTCAAGCTGACCAACTTTTGCTACCTCGACCAGGCAGAGTCAGATCAAGGTTAACTCAATGCACCTACCGCATCCAAGGTCAGAAGACCCAGGAGTTGGGAATAGTATATATGTGTATGCGCGTAAGGGTCGAACCAAGGAGCCAGTTAAGCATAATTCCCTGAGACAGTTTTGCTTTATCTTGTTAATAATCACAATATATATACATATATAATTTATATGTATAAAACAGACATACAAGTATTTTTCTCTTATAGGAACAATACATGTTTGACATGTGTGTTGTTAAAAAAAATTGGAACGTACTAAAAAGTATAGAGAACAAAGTTAAAATCATAGTTTCCTACCACCCAGAATTAACCACTTACATTTTTTATATATTTCTTTCTAGATCTTTTTCCATGCAAGTAGGAATTCATTTCAATACGGGGGGGGGTGGTATGGTATGTACAGTTTAGTGTCTTCTGTTTTTCATTTAGATCCTGTGGTGTAAGCGTTTTCCCACGTTATTATAATATGCTCACAAACTCCATTTTAACGACTGCTTAATAGTTCATCGTGTGCCATGATTTTTTTTTTCTTTATTGTTGGATGTTTATAAATGACGCTGGGAAAGAACATTCCTGAACAAGAGGCTTTGCCTGCGTTTCAGATTATGTTTTTAGGACAAATTCCTAGAAGTGGAGGGCAGGGATATGTTTAAGGCTCTCAATACTCACTGCCAAGCAGCTTTCCAGAAACATGTACCAGTTACACCCCCACCAGCTGCATTAGAGAAGAGCCTTTTGATTCTGCCAATGCAGCAACACCTCGGGCTGAAGGAAGGCCACTCTTCCATCCAAAGCCTCTCAGCAGTCCTAACAATGGACCCCTTGTCCCACCCCCATCTCCTCTTCCCTCCATCCCTGGCTCCAGGCTTGGAACACAGGCTGTCTGCGAGGCCTCTGTTCAGTCCAGTCCAGCCTTGGTGCTCCACGGGGTTGGTAGAGCTGAAAGGTGAGAGGTGTGCCTGTCCTACAGGGCGGGGCCACCATCCTTCCAGCCTCAGAGAGACCCCCGGGGGGTGCGGAGGTGGGTGTGTAAGGGTTGCTGAGTCATCCGCCTCTTTTGGAGAACAAACCCATCCGATCCCAGGATAGAGTTCTGCACATGACGAGGGGAAAGTAGAGACCAGCCCCAGTGACAATGGCCACAGGGTTACTCTGGCCAGCATGTAGATGACTTCTGTTTCCCTACAGGCTCTGAAGCCCCTCCATGAATCCTCAGAAGAAGGTGGACCTCAAGCTCATCATCATCGGATCCCTGGGGTAAGCCAAGTTCAGCTCGGGGTCTGGGGGTTGGGAAGAAGCCCCTACCCAAGAACAGTGAGACGTCCTGTATGTGCTCCCACCTTGCATGGGTCCCTTTCTGATTCAGAGTGGCACCAGGGAGGGCATTCCACCCCAGGGAAGGGAACTGAGATGGGAGAAAGAGACTGGGAGTCAGGCTACCTGGTTTCTGACCGCAGCTCTGCACTTAACTCTGCAGTAACTAGGTGTGTGAATTAGGCAAGCCATTTAGCATCTCTCTGCCCTCCTACCTCCTGCTACATTCAGGAAAGACCTGAACCTTTTGCTGTGAGGCACTCAGCTCTCTGAAAACTTCTCTGCTCACTTTGGTCCCTGCTTCTTGTGTCCATTCCCTAGTATTAGCAAGCTACTCAAACTGCAAATGTTAGAAATTCAAAATCTCAGAGAGAGACAGTGGTGAGAGGGTCATGGTAAGATGTTGAGAAAGGTATGGATATGTGTGTGTGTGTGTGTGTGTGTGTGTGTCCACATGTGTCTGGGTTTTTTCCTTAGTGTTGGAAAGACTTCCCTCCTCCACCGATTCGTGCACAAGACATTTTATGAGGACTATCAGACCACACTGGGAGCTAGTATCCTCTCCAAGATTATCATACTGGATGACACAACTTTGAAGCTACAGGTGAGCTGCCCTCTCATTCCCTCTTCAATATACACACCTGAATATCACCCCATATTCCGTGGATGGCCACTCACACAGCAATGTGCACCAGGAGCTAGAAGAGTCTAGAGCATAGATCAGAAAACTTTAATTCATGGGCCAAATCTTGTCCGCCATCTGCTTTTGAAAATAAAGTTTTATTGGAACACAGCCCTGCCCGTTTGTTTACTCACGGTCTCTTTGGTTGCTTTCACAGTACAACAGCAGAATTGAGTAGTGGCAACAGACGGTGTATAGTCTGCAAAGCCTACGTTATTTACTATATGTCCCTTTACGGAAAGATTTACTGATCCCTGATCTAGAAGGAAGAGCATTAATCCAGAATTAAGAGGCCCCACCCTAAGGCTCAGGTTCCCTGGAAAACTTGCCAAGTGGACTTGGGCAAGTCACTCCCAAGGTCCAAATCTATCAGGTGGAAAAACAATGACTGTCCTGACGCCCCAGGTGGAAAATGAGGACTCAGATGTGAAAGTACTCTTGGGATGTTAAATATTACTGCAGAGATTCTATAGTGTACATGGGTGACAGGGTGTGTGATGCCCATGTGTGAAAGGACCTCGTGCACCTGTGCCAGGGCTATCTGCCCCCTACCCAGAAAAGGAAGTTTTGACATGATGTGACCTGGTTGGGCATACCTTCAGCCACTCATCACAGCCCCATGGAGCCTCTGTTCTTCCCCTCCAGATCTGGGACACAGGAGGACAGGAGCGATTCCGCTCCATGGTGTCTACCTTCTACAAAGGCTCTGATGGCTGCATCCTGGCTTTTGATGTCACTGACCTGGAGACCTTTGAAGCCCTGGAAACCTGGAGGGATGATGTTCTGGCCAAAACCATTCCAATGGAGCAGTCCTACCCCATGGTGGTGCTGGGGAACAAGATCGATCTGGCAGACCGGCAGGTACCGCTGACTCATTCATTCATTCATTTACCAAACATGTGAGGACTGGCTATATGCCAGGCACTGAGTTAAGTCCCACACATACAGAGTTGAATCAGGCAGGGTCCTTACCTTAAGAATTTCACAGTCTAGTAATGGATGCAGATAATTTAAAGACACTTACGATACAATAAGATAAATCATAAGCAATCATAGAGATACACCTTGGATATTTGGGGACCATAGTGAAAGGGCATCTATCTACTTAAGCCCAGAGTATAGAAAGGGCTTCCTATAAGGAAGTGGGTTCCAGGCTGAAGAAACAGCAAGAACAAAGGTAAGAAACAGAATGATGTGAGCCGAGAGCCGAAGGCAATTTTGTCTAGAGACAGGGAATGGAAGAATGAAGGCATCAGAAGTAGGCAGGTGGGATTTGAATTAACCTGTAGAACAGTATTTCTACCCAGGGTCAGATAGGGGGTCTGCAGTTATGAATTCTTGAAACTACAAATTTTCTGGGAAAGTAGTAATACAGTATTTATTTCTTATTAGCTTAAGCATATTCTATATCACCTGGCCAGCCACTTGACAAATGATCTGCTTGCTCCATGGCTGCGGTGACCACACTTATGTAGGTGTTCACCACTGCAGTGGCATTGAGTAGAGCTCTGTTCATCGTTGCCAACTAATGAGAAAAGAATAAAAGTAGACAATTTATAAAAGATGCTCTTGTGCCAAACAAAGCCCAAAGGACACCAAAAAGAGCATCTGAACAAGTTGTCTTAGTGTTTCAAATAGAGAAAATAAATGGGGTTCATATTTGAACCACATTTTCACAAGTGTTCAAATGGAGAAAAGTGATAGGAGAACTGAGGCATCATTTGGAATGATGGGTGGGTGGGTGGATGAATGGACGGTGGTGCTTCCAACTAAACTATTACCACCATAAAGAAGAGCCTCTTGTTCAGAGAGAGAGAGGAGTTTGGTTCTGACACGCTGAGTTGGAGGAGCTTGGAGAACAACTAATTGGGAATGACCAGTAGGCTTTAGAACACATAAGAATGAAACGTCAAAGGAGAAGTCTGTGCTGGAAATAGAAATCTAGAAGTCATCAATTCTATGGGAACTTCAGGTTGCAAATTTAGTGTCAATTCTCTAATTACAAATATCCAATCTCAAATAAGAATCAAAGTCCTAAGTTCATTCACGGCCAAGGGGTCTCTCTTCTTTCCACTGGGGCCAGCTGCAAGTGAGAACACTGTGGTCTAGGAGGGGCATCTCATTGCCAACTTTATGTGTCCACACTTCCTCCCCTTCTCAGGATAATTTTGGTTTCAGACCCCATCAGGAATGAAGCAAAAACAGGGATAAGAGGTCAGGAGAAGCGAAAACACCCTTATTTGACTGGTACTGTCTTAAGATAGTTTGTGCTCTCTGGGCCCAACAGGTATTTCAACTTGTCTCTTGGTGGGTTACTCCTTTGGGTCCTAAGAAGCCTCCATTGGGAACATTTAACTGTACCTCCCCTGACAAGGGTCTTGCATATTCTTCCTCAGCTCTTAATGTAGGAGCTTAAGAGCCATCCTCCACTCCATGGGGTCCCCTCCTCCTGCAGACACTCTTCCTGATGGGGTTTACAACAGCTCCAGGCTGGCTAGCTCTCTGTGGAGCCCGCCTCTCTTTCATAAGGCACACCCATGCATTCTGGCTCCATTGTAGGGCCAAGGGTAATTCGTTCTCAGTGCAGTCTGTCCTCTCTCTGCCCTGTTGCCTTTTGCCTTAAATCCCTCAGATGCAATCAGATACCAATCCACTGTAGCCACCAAGCTCCAGGGGTCATATGTTAACCTTTCCAAGTGGCCTCTTTTGGCCAGAGGTGAGGCCTTACATGGTCTCCCTCTTGGGAGGGGTGTCCCCCCAACACAACTCTCCCCCTCTAAAAAAAATCCTTTCTAACCTCCTTTTCAATCCTTTTATTCCATGCCGGGGGTGTTAGAGTCGTCTAGCAGATTCTTGGTCATGAACATTTGGAAATGTGCATGGTCCCAGGGGTGGTCTGTCTCCCAACCAACTTGATACCTGGCATCGATCACACTGTAGTGTCTCTGCCAAAGCTTCCATTTCACATCTTGCTTCATATACCTGCAAGTCGTGGGGTGGGCAGTCGAGGGAGTTCAAGACTGAGAGCCCGCTGTTTCCTCAGTGAAATAAGAGGCACCATCTTCTGTTGAGAAGGGAGCCCAGGAGGAGTCTCAAGAATCATGGTGAAGCTGTGCCAGTTACTCTGCAGAGCAACGGGTGAAGGGGCTAGTCAGGGACAAAGACCAGAGCTGATGGGCAGAGCAACGGGTGAAGGGGCTAGTCAGGGACAAAGACCAGAACTGATGGGCAGAGCAACGGGTGAAGGGGCTAGTCAGGGACAAAGACCAGAAGTGATGGGTGACACCAAGGGCTCAGGAGGCCAGGAGTTTGAAGTGGAGTCTATGTTGTGTTTTTCTTCAACCGTGGTACATGGGGTAAAAGCCAGGGACCTGATGGAAGGTTTTTCCAGACAAGAGTAGCTGAAAAACAGAGCTGCAAGGGGACTCACTGAGAACCCATGGAGGAAAGAGGAGAGACAAGAAGAGGCTGAAGAACCAGGAGGCTGTCAGAGGTTGAGGAACAGGGCAGAAGGAGGGGGGGGAAAAGAGACCAGACAATGGAGGCCCTGGGTCTGGGCCTGGGAAGGAGAGGCTGAGTGGAGAGAAGGTGAAGACGGCTACAGGGGAAGGAAGTGTGAGGCTCTCGTGAGCGTTGGGGGCTGCATGCAGAGGAAGCTTCACGAGATCGCAAGTGTTCAGTGAACCAGGGGGTACCTGGCAGGATGGGAGGCATAGGTGACGACTCAGAGGGGTAGAGGGGGTCCGATCCCAGCTGCAGGGAGATGAGCTTTGCTCTGCAGAGAGAGGAAGAATAAAAGTTTGAAAGAAGCAGCAAAGACCCAGGCAAGCCCATCCAGGTCTCTGGGGTCTGTACTGAGTAGGGTGTGGAAATAACCCGCACTGGAGAGGGTGACAAGGGAAGGGCTTGAAGGGAGGCAGGAGGAACAGAGGTAAGGAAGTGCTCGCAGCCATGAAATGAGCACAGGGAGGTGGAGAGGAGGAACTGGAAGTGGGGAGAGCAGAGGGACTTCAGTCCAGAGACCCAGGATCGTGGAGCTAGAGGTGAGGCTGGGAAGCGGCTGCCCTCAAACGGCACAGACCCAGCAGGGGACACCGCCAGTTGCTGAGAGGCACACCCTGGGCTTGGAGATCCAGGCTGGAGACGCTCGCCGCTTGCACAGGGTTGAGTGGATGAGAGCTGAGGGCCACCGGAAGGGGCACCTTCTCTGGGCTCAAATTCATGCTCAAATTCGTGTGTGTCCTTGGCCAGTTCCAGCTTCTTTGTGAAATAGAGACCAGACTCAGATTTCATGAGGTTGTTTGAGGATTATAGGCAATGATGCCTACAAAGCACGTGGCAATCTTAATACATGGAAGTGACTGTTACCCTCCTTAATTTAATATCTCCAAGGTGTGGGCTGGGAAGATCGGGAAGCTCTTCCTACTTAACAAAATGAAAATGAATATTTAAAACATATATGCTAGATGTGGGATGATGAAAAAGCTGTGGAAATGAGCAGTGGGGATGGTTACACAAAGATGTGAATGTACTAATGCCACTGAACTGTACACTTAAATATAGTTAAAATGGTAAATTTTATGTTTATATATATTTTACCACAATCAATCAATCAATACCTCACCAGGATAATTTTAAAGAAATTACTGACTTAGATTTTTCTTAAAACCCCTACACCTTCTACACAAGGTAAAAGTGAAAAAAAAATTAGTTTATTGGAAAGAACAGTTCTGCTAGCATCTATGCTGCAAGGAATTTATTCACTAGGACGTGAATTCTTTGCTCTACACTCAGGCAGTTTCTAACTTACTGCTGATTCATAACATTGGGATTATGTTTTCTTTGTTATTTTTGATTGGTTTAAGATGTATCGGTACACTAATCTTAACACACACAATTGATCATTTTAAATGCATATGAAGTATGGGGATATATGTATATGTAGAGCTGATTCACTTTGTTATAAAGCAGAAACTAACACACCATTGTAAAGCATTATACTCCAATAAAGAGGTTAAAAAAAAAAAAAGGAAAAAATAATAAATAGGGGCTTCCCTGGTGGCGCAGTGGTTGAGAGTCCGCCTGCCGATGCAGGGGACGTGGGTTCGTGCCCCGGTCTGGGAAGATCCCACATGCCGTGGAACAGCTGGGCCCGTGAGCCATGGCCGCTGAGCCTGCACATCTGGAGCCTGTGCTCCGCAACGGGAGAGGCCACAACAGTGAGAGGCCCGCGTACCGCAAAAATAAATAAATAAATGCACATTAGGGAATTCCCTGGCAGTCCAGTTGTTAGTACTCCGTGCTTCCACTGCAGGGGGCACAGATTCAATCCCTGACTGGGGAACTAAGATCTCACATGCTATGTGGTGTGGCCAAAGGCAAACAAACAAACAAATTAATTAATTAAATGCATATGAGATGGAAAAGCATCATAAATAAAAGTCTGCAAAGTGGACTAATTTTGTCAAACATCTGACTTTTAATGAACAAACCAAATTGTAACAGGGAAAGTAAAATGTTAATAGTATATTGTCGGGACTTCCCTGGTGGTGCAGTGGTTAAGAATCCACCTGCCAATGCAGGGGACACAGGTTCGAGCCCTGGTCCGGGAAGATCCCACATGCCATGGAGCAACTAAGCCCGTGCACCGCAACTACTGAGCCTGCGTGCTAGAGCCCGCGAGCCACAACTACTGAGCCCACGTGCCACAACTACTGAAGCCCTCACGCCTAGAGCCCGTGCTCCGCAACAAGAGAAGCAACCACAATGAGAAGCCCACGCACCACAACGAAGAGTAGCCCCTGCTCACCTCAACTAGAGAAAGCCCACGCACAGCAACAAAGACCCAAAACAGCCAAAAATAAAAATAAATTAATTTTTAAAAAGTAGTATAGGGCTTCCCTGGTGGCTCAGTGGTTGAGTCCGCCTGCCGATGCAGGGGACACGGGTTCGTGCCCCGGTCTGGGAAGAGCCCACATGCCGCGGAGCGGCTAGGCCCGTGAGCCATGGCCGCTGGGCCTGCACGTCCGGAGCCTGTGCTCCGCAATGGGAGAGGTCACAACAGTGAGAGGCCCGCGTACCGAAAAAAAAAAAAAAAAGTAGTATATTGTCAGCCAAAACAAAATCAATGGAAGTAACACTTTCAAAATTTTCATACTTCCCATGTCCCCACGGCTGACACCCTGAGTTTATTTCCACAGTCAGAGCCTAAATTATAAATAGCTGTTATTTTATAAATAAAAGAAGACAAGATGATTTTAAAAATCATGAAGATGTAACTAGAATTGGAAGGGAAAAGTGCTGTGTGGGTCATTTTCTTCCCAGGGCGACATTCTGAGGTTGAGTGGGAGAGGTGAGGGATATAAAAGGAGTGTTAATTTGCAGCACAATCTCAACTGATATTCTAGAGTGTGTATTTAATCACTCCGTAAAAACCAGACAGAGAATGATCGGGGAGAAGTGAGAGAAAACGTCTGTCATAACCGGACTCTGGGCAGGCCCAGTCACTGTCAGTGGTTGAGAAGGGACAGAGAGATCTTCGGGCTGTAGGTGTGGGCTTGTCTTCCTAGCTTTATCTCTGGGTGACCTTGGGCACCAGTCTGGGCTTCAGCTTCTCATGCCATAGCATATGAAGAATCTCCCTGCTTCTTGGAGAAGCAGAGACACTTGCCTTCATTGCAATTTACTTCCATTTTTACTGCAACTCCTGAGCACCAACGATGTGCCCAGAAAAATGCTCATTAGCTGGTGGCAGTAGGATATAAAGAAGGGGGAGCAATAAGAAGAGTAAGTCCAGTCCTTGCCCTAAAGTCTTTTTTTTAAACTTTTATTCCTTTTCTTTCTTTCTTTAAATTTATTTTTGGCTGCATTGGCTCTTCATTGCTGCGTGTGGCCTTTCTCTAGTCGTGGCGAGCGGGGGCTCCTCTTCATTGCGGTGCACGGGCTTCTCATTGCCATGTCTTCTCTTGTTGCGGAGCACGGGCTCTAGGCACACTGGCTTCAGTAGTTGTGGCGCACAGGCTTAGTCACTCCACAGCACGTGGGATCTTCCTGGACCAGGGCTCGAACCCGTGTCCCCTGCATTGGCAGTTGGATTCTTAACCACTGCACCACCAGGGAAGCCCACCCTAAGGTCTTTTAAAGAACTTTAGAAGATGCAAAACCTTTGGAATTCCAAAGATGCCATCAAGGTATTATTATAACATGTTAATTTCTAATGATTATTTATTTGTGTGTTACTAGTAAGGACAATAATAATCAGCAACTTGGCCATCCTTGATTCTTCATCCACATAGTTCAGGATTTTCCCCGATCTGTTAGGCTTCTTGGCTGTTCACCAGATCAAGGACATCTATGCTCCACAGAACAGAGCAGTTGTGGCCAGTTCGGGGGCCCCTCGCCCCAAAAGGCAGGAGGACCTTAGAGATCAGAGGCCAAGACCATGGCCTGGACTCTCTCCCTGCTCTGCTGAAGTGCAGCAGCTCCAGGGAGACTGAGCGTGGGGGACCAGAGGTGTCATCTGGGCTCCCCAAAGGGCAGGCTGCTTAGCTACCCCAGTTTCTACCCTGCAGTCTTAGGAAGCGAGCCTCACAATACCAGAGCAATGCCACTGGACAACAGAGGCTTTGTGAAAGAGAGCCATGAGTCCCTGGGGCCTGCTGCCACTCCTGAGGCCAGGACAGCAAGGGCCAAAGAGACAGGGGACAGTGATGGTTCCTTGAATCCCAGTAAGCTAGGCTTTCCAGAACCTGCAGGAGACAAAGTGACAAGGAACAGTCTCAGATCTCCCCCTGGCTGCCCTGGGTTCAAGGAAAGGGGCAGAATGATTCTTTCTCCATGAGAAAAACCTTGGCTCCCTTAAAGTGAAATAATGGTTAGAAAGTATCAGGCACAGCAAATATCAATATATGGTCATTCCCTCTTCCCCAAAATAATTGATTAGACTAAACTCAGGAACCAATGTCTTTGGAAGGAACCCACTGGCTGCCAGAGCATTCTCCAATCTAATCCTCAAACTGTGATTGACGTTTGCATTTGGGTAGAGCCGTATTCATTCAGCCTGTACTGAGTGGTTCATGGTGCCAGGCCAAGAGCTAAAAGTCCTGACCCTGAGTTCAAGAAACCTGCAGTCCAGTGGGAGAGACAGACCAGCAGAATTCTTGTGCAGTGCCCTGAAGAGGGCAGTGCAGATGCCATGGGACCACTGAGCTGTGGCTGGATCCAAGTTCTGCCTTCCTTAGCTGTGTGATCTGAGGCAAGCTGCTGAACCTCTCTGAGGCTCAGTGTTCTTATCTATAAAGTGAAGCTAAAAAGACCCATTTCACAAGGTTGTTAGAGGATTAAGTGAGTTAATAGGATCAGATGTCTAACCTAGTATCTGGCCCAGAGTGGGAGCTTATCAACTGTTCCAAAGACTCTACCCTGAGGAAGAAGGGTTAACAGGGACCTGAGTCTCTGCCCAGCAGCGTGGGCCTGGTCAGCCAGCTCAGGAGAAGAAAGTCCTCCCTCCCTGGCTAGTGCCTGTTATGTCCACCTCCCTTTGAAGGAACTGAGGAAGGAGTCAATGGCAGGAAGAAGCTCCTAGTGTAGGCCTTAAGAAGATGGCATAGTTCAGAGGGCTCTAATTCTTCGAGGCCTGTATTCAAACCCTGCTCAGCCCCACACACTCCAGTCCTCGAACTCCTCATGTGTAAAATGGAGCTAACAATAGCTACTTCATTGGCTTATGTTAAAAAATAACACGTGGGGCTTCCCTGGTGGCGCAGTGGTTAAAAAGCCACCTGCCAATGCAGAGGACACAGGCTCGAGCCCTGGTCCAGGAAGATCCCACATGCCGCGGAGCCACTAAGCCCATGCACCACAACTACTGAGCCCGCGAGCCGCAACTACTGAAGCCCATGTGCCTAGAGCCCGCCCTCCACAACGAGAGAAGCCACCGCAGTGAGAAGCCCACACACCGCAACGAAGAGTAGCCCCCATTCGCTGCAACTAGAGAAAAGCCTGCGCACAGCAACGAAGACCCAATGCAGCCAAAAATAAATTAATTAACTAATTAATTTTAAAAATAATAATAACACCTGTAAACTTACAGACACATGGAAGGTTCTCAATAAATGAGAGTGGTGGTGGGGAAGGTGGGACTGTGATGATGGTGATAATCATGGTGGGGATGGTGGAGATGGGGACCCAGGAACAGTGATCATTTCTTCCCCTCATGCAGGTGCCACAGGAGGTAGCCCAAGACTGGTGTAAAGAGAAGAATATTCCCTATTTTGAAGTCAGTGCCAAGAATGACATCAATGTGGTACAAGCCTTCGAGATGCTGGCCAGTCGGGCTCTGTCAAGGGTGAGTGGCAGCTGCCAGCTGCCCCCTAGGATGGGGCAACTCAGGAGCATCCAGAAAAGTATCTATTGGGAGGGACGAGGGTGGGACAGGATTGCTCATCATCTTAATTAATCAGTTGTTGAATGGGCTCAACGGTATTCCAATTCTGGAACCACAGAATACCAGAGGCATAAAGCTTCCTTAGAATCCATCATCAGTGGTCCCTCAATCCGGCTGATTACCATTTGTGGAGTTTCTAAAAAATACAGTTCGATACGTCACCCCGGAGACTCTAATTTAGTAAGAGTTTGAGAAGTAATGCTCTAGTTCAGTCCTCACTGATGGGAGAGAAGCCCCAAGGTGCCAAGTATTGGTCCAAGTGGAATAATGAAGCCTGCGGGAGTTGCTGACATCCTCCAATCAAAATGATGGATAGATGTAGACCACTTGGTGTAGTCTCTCAACAAGCATGTGTTGAGTATGTCACGTGTGTCAGGTCCCGTCCAGGGCTCCGAGGCCCCTTGATCTCATAAGGGAGACAGATCGGCACAGGAGTGGCTGCAGTGCAGGCACTGTATGGTGGGCAAGGACTGGTGATGGGGCCCCAGAGGAGGGACACACAGCCCACACTGCAGGGGAGAGAGAAGAGGAAGATCAGAGGTCACCTGGAAGTATTAGCAGGGTTTTAATGCCCTTCTGATATAGAGTTCAGAAACTCTGAAGAGGGCCCGTGAGAGATTTGCACAGGGAGGGGCTCAGCACGTTTCATTATTCTGCCATATGCAATCAAGGTGGGCTTCTTGGAAGTGGAGAGAAGGTCATCACGGCAGTGATTCTGAATTGAGGAAAGGAGCGAATGAGGATGGGCAGTCGGAGGGCTCCCCTCTGTGGAAGGGCCTGCTGTCACGGGTCTGCCTGGCCCTGCCCTGTGGGTTGTCCACAACGGAGAGGGACAGCAGCCACCCCTAGCAGCTGTCCAGGGAGAGGGCTCGAGCTTGCCACCCTTACACCCCATTGCCTTCATCTCAGAGTTTGCCCCCGTGTGCTATTATTCATGCTTCCCCTCCCGGCCCCCAGCCCTCACTGTGTCATGTTAAAAGGAAGAAGAGGGGTGTCTATCTCTAGCACATGGTCAAGAAGTGCTGCTCTATCACACAGTCGGTGATGCAGGTGTGCCTGCTCATGCCGTCCCCTGGAAGGTGAGGGATGCTGTTTGACCTCATAGCGTGATACGTGATCACTGATCCTCCACAAACACAGTGCAATGATCGCCAAGTGCTCAGTCACGGGGAAGCTCCCTCAGCCCACAGCCAGTGTCTGTGTGTAGTTAGCAACTGTCCTTTCTGGAGAAGGCGTGTCCTTCATTCTTGAAACTATGTCCTTCCTGCTGTGTCACTTTTATGACATAGTGATGTGAGTGGATGGTAGTTTGTCTGCTTGTTTTTCTTTTCCATTGTCCTTACTTGGCAAAAGAATGGATTGGCGACCCCACGTCAGTCCCTCACAATGATGGGGGAAATTTACCGATGAGAAGTTTGGCGTTCACGGGTGTGATACCCGCAGTCAGACTGACCTGGGTTTGATCCCGCCCTCATGCTTTCAAGTGGACCCCTGGGCAAGACATATGACTTCTCTGAGCCTCAATTTCCTCATAAGATGGAAATAATTCCATCCCATAAACGTTCTTGAGTTGTCAGGCTAGGGCTGGAGATGTGGACCTCAGTGGCCCCACGGTCAGGTAAAGGAGTAAGGCATCCAAAACCGGAGGTCATGCAGAGAGAACAGGCTTGCGGTTGCCAAGGGGGAGGGGGGAGGGGAGGGAAGGATTGGGAGTTTGGGACTAGCAGATGCAAACTCGTATATATAGAATGGAGAAACACCAAGGTCCTATTGTATGGCACAGGGAACTGTAGTCAATATCCTGTAATAGGCCATGATGGAAAAGACAAAACATATAGATTTACAAAAGAAAAAAGAAAACAGATAGACTGTCATGGGGTGAGGTAGGTGCCATGGGCTGGGGCGGGGAGGGGACACGGCCAAGGCATCGAGGTGACTCAGAGGTGCTGGTGGCGAGGGCGGGCGAGGATGCCTGCCCAGAGAGGTGACGTGTGAGTTGGAGCTTGAAAGGTCATATGCAGTTTGCGTGGGGGACACGGTAGGCCGTTGAAAGCACAGGCAAGAGCCGCAGAAGGGCGGAGAGAAGGGCGTGGCGGAGGCCCGGGCGTGAGTCCACAGGGCTCACGTGAGGGACCACGGTGGGCTCCGTCTGTAAGAGGAAGAACCGTGGCATGGAGGGAAGTGGGGCCGCTGGGCCGAGGTGAGCGATGGGGCTCTCAAGGCCAACAGCACCAGACCATGAAGGCCTGGTGAGCCCCAACCAGACCTTGGACTTCATGCTGTAGGCCCATGACCTCTAGACCCGCTACCAGACTCCCAGGGCACACAGGGGCCCAGTACGGAGGCCAGCAGGGCGCATCTTCCAGCAATGTCTCTATTATTCAGAAATCTGGAAGGGAAACATTTCACCCTAAAATAAACATAATTACTCGAGCACTGAATGTAAAAACTCACACGGATTTTTAAGGTGAAACTGGAGTTTCCAAATCTATACTTTAAAATCAAACAGGAGTTTTCAAGGACATTTCCTACAAGTAGCTCTCCCCTCCTTCCCAGGGAGGTCATGTGCTCATTCACACCAGCCCAGAGTATTTGGAGAGGAAGATGTGAGAGGTGCTGCTAGAATAAGGAGGGAGCCGCAGCCTGGGGTGGGAAGAGCTGGGCTCTGAAGCCGGGTGGGTCTGGCTTATTTCCTGGCTCTACCTCTTACTCACTGTGTCCCTGACAAGTCATACAGCCTCCCCTAAGCCATCACTTCCTTCCCTTTAAAGTACAAGTAATAGTATCGTCCTCATGGGGCTGTTGCCAGGGCTAAATAAAATAATATGGTAGCACAGAGAAGGCATTAAATAAAAGGTAGCTATTTTTAAATGAAAGCTATGGCTAAGGGCTTTCAGCAGGGAAGTTTCATGCTGCAGGGAGGATGCGCTTGATGGGTGATTCAGAAAGGTCCAGGCATGAGAGGATGAAGACGGCAAGGACGGGGTAGATTAAAGAGACTTTGGAGGGAGAACCGTCAGGGATTGATGATGATCAAATGTAGGAGAGAAGGAATCAGGAGCTGTTGAGATTGATACCGAGGTTTCTAGCTTGGCAAACGGAGGGATGATTGATTAGTGATGCTATAGACCAAGATAGAAAAGAGAGGGGAAAGCAAAAGTGTCACAAGAGGAGGAGGCAATGGAGCACATGGCATTTGGGGTTCCTTGAGGTTCCTTGGAATGTCTGAGTTCTGCAGTGAGCTCTGGATGGAAAGAGCAGCTTACAGGTAGAGCGCCAGAAGAGGTACTCGGGTTACATTTTGAAAGGAGAGAAGGTAGCTAGTTACTTTAGTTTCCCAATCTGGCCACTTTCAAGGATTAGGGTATTTAGTTATTCCAAAATATGACTAAGAATGCCCTCATAATCAAAGAAGGGACACCCACCTGCTTTGGGGGATTTGGGATGAAGGGATTTTGCTCTTACCAAGTTGGCAATACCATCCCTGCTGGGGCTCAGCGTGAGCTGCAGCATGGAGGCCGGTTCCTTTTGGATTAATTAGAGAAAGACACACTTGCCACATCCGGGAGGGAAGCAGGCTGACAGGCAGGTAAGCTTAGTGAAATTATAGGACTTCTATGAGGTCCTCAGGATGTAGGATCTAGAGTCAGGGCTATGAGGTGACCAGGCTTGGAGGGGCAGACTCCCACAGTCACATCCCCACTGAAATGATGCATTAGGACTCTATGGTGTTACTTTACAGTTAGACATGCACATACTTGCTAAGATGACTGGGGTCTGGAGAAAAGAATCACACAGGAAATCTAATAATGGACTGCCAGTGACTTGGAAGGTTTGCAGGAAACCTGAGGAGGGAGATGATGCCATTATCGAGTGAAATGATGTCATAAATGGGAAGAGCTCAGGGCTGACTTGGACCTGGGGAGGATGTGACTCTTATTGGGTGAAGAGAGCTGGCATGAAGACCTCAGGCTTTGCCGGTGTGTAATGAACGAGGGCGTTTCTCACACCTTCAAAGGCAACATCGTTTGTTCCTCGAATAAAGTGCAAAGCAGCTCAGAAAGCCCTCAGCTTAGACTCTCCCTCCCAAAGGCTGGCCTCGAGGACAAGGCACAGGTTCTGTTCATGATCCCAGCTGGGCCTTCTGTGGACGTGAGGGGGAGGCATACTCAGGGGTGATGAATCAACAGGCCCTGCCCCCTGGGTCCAAAAGACCCAGCTAGGAGAGTTCCTGATCCCAGGCAAGGTCTCTTTGATGTTTATGGTGAGAGGGGGACCAGGAAAACACAAAAAATAAGAGAATCTTTTCAAAAGCCTGTCTTTCTGGGAGACGTGGATCAGTCAGCTTAAAAAGGGACTTAAACAGCAATGCTCTACTCCCCCTCATCTCTCCCTGTGAGGCTCAGAGTGTCAGTGGAGCGAGTGGGCCCTGCAGATGGGGCCAGCTGGAGGACTGGATGGTGTCCCGGGCGGTGCAGCCCCGAGCGCGCACAGCAGACCTGGGCAGTGCTGGGGGAAGGAGCCTCAGGAAACTCAGGGGAGGACTCTGCTCTTTCAGGGTGAGGGGCTGGGGAAGGCCTGTGGTGCGCTGGGCCGGCTCTGCCAGCAGTGGGCTAGGATCCTCCCCAGCGGAGGGGAAGATGGAACTGGGGTGTGGAGACATCCCCAGAGGGACAGGCTTTCATTGGGAGACACTGCCCCTGACTCCCCAGCACTAATCTTTCCTAATGAAAAATATATATATATATATATAACAAATAAAATTCTAATAGCTCCAAAGAATTTGCTGAGGGCTACTCAAGGCCCATCATCCCGGCTGACTAAGGGTAGCTGGTGCTCTGCTGGCCCGGACACCCTACCAGGGAGCGGGTGAGAAACCAGGGGCTCTTCAAGAAGCAAAG